CGAAACCCAACTCCCACCCAGCGGTCGCCACGAGAAGGCGTCCAGGACATGAGCAAATGGCGTACCATAGCAACAGTGAGTAGATCGTCTGTCAGGATCTAGCCACCACCAGCCTCAGCGCACCATAAGCTCTCCCGTCTGGGTTGGTTTGGTTAACGACATCCGGTTTCGGACTCGCTTTTCACTGTGGAAAGCTACAGAACGCCCGCGCCTATGTGGGACCGTGGGTGGCTTGCGCTGCACCATCCACAGCTCCAACCACATACCCCATATCCAGTGTAAACCCGAAGGAATAAGACCGGGAGGCATATGGATGGGAGCCACGTTTCATCGACGGAGCCGGCCCATACTCCTTCACGGGTAAACACAAACACGCTGTATTTGGGAAATCAAGCGCACACAAGACGGTGGCTGGAACGTAGCCCGCTCCACACTATGTGTATGGAACCACTCTTTGATCCTAACACGGCCACAAGAACTGTGCACCGCGTCCCCTCCAGCCAAAACCAACTGTCTCCTAGAGCCAGTATGGACGAGGTAGCAGGTAATAGACAGTTAGGCACCTTGGCAACATGCACATCAAGCGCAACCACACTAGGGATGTCAAGCAACAGCCAACCACTTGAGTGAAAGCTAACAAAGTAAATAAATCGAGTACTGTATAAGGAAACGGGACAAATTTTAACTTAATGAGCATATGAAAAAAGTTTTTTACAAAGGATCCAAAGTAGGTTCACGAGGTCGGAAAGTATATTTTACGGAAATGACACAAACACGAAAATGTTATCAAAATTAACTACAATTGGATTAGCGAGGTGTGCAAGTTTATAGAAGAGCGTACAGGCAGGCATTTATATGAGAAAGAAAAGCATTAGAACAAAACTGCAAACCCACCACCTGAAATAAATAGACTTAGCATGCAAGCACTCGGTCAGCAAATCGAAGGCAGCGTACCTACAAAAGCTGCGCCGGTTCTGTCTACGTTCTCTGCAGGACCCGTCGTCGCTTCTGTGATGGTCCCAAGTGGCCTCGCTCATGGCTCACTAAGCCTGCCTGATTCAGGCACTCGCGAATGCATGTGCTACAGCATCATGCGCTTGATGTCGATGGAGTACAACAAATCGTTACTTGCCGCTTCCGCACGCCGTTTCTTCTCTACATCTATGAGTCATTCACCCGCACTTCAGCAACTGCCTTCGTGATCAGATCGCGCCATGCCCGCTGATAAACCGCTTTCAATTCCCATGATCTGCAATCAAGCTTAGAACTTAAGAGGCTCACGTTGATCATGTCCTGGGTTGGTATACACATATACATAAATACAGCACGTTATTGGTTAACTTGTAACAGTTTCACGCAAATGACGTTCATACGTATTTATATTACAGCGTTTGTGCATTTGCAGGAGGGTCTCAAAATGTCCAGAATAAACGATTTATTTATTCATTTCCTTAATCCTTAGCTCAATAATACAACTTTCAATTCGCCAATGAGCATAAAGCGTGAAGCAGGATCGGTACGCTTTAGAACCAATACGCGAATATAAGGCCAAGCTCCGATGAGTGGAGAACACCAAAAGTAACGCTAGGAAAAAGTTATTAAGTGGGGCGAAACGCTATCTAGTGCTAAAAATAAGGCACCGGAAGATAGCTAGCTAGGGGAAAGGTGCGGTCGCGTGTGCGGAGAGCAAAGATGGCCGCGGAGCCGATGTGCGTCGCGCCGTTCGAAGGCGGATGCTATGTTGACTCACACAAACGCGAGCAACGTTCAAACAGGCGAGCGGCTAATTTGCTATGTACATCGAGAAAATATAATTTTGTGATTTTGTAATATTTTACGCAGCATGCGGCAGCCAAACCGGGGAATCGCCAGGTCACTACAAGCACACATTGACCTCTTTTCGAACTATATACATTAACTCCCGAAAAGTTGTTGCCTTGACTTTGCACCCCGAGGTATAGCTTAGGTCCATAATAACATAGCGCTGTAGAGAGCAAAAGGGGAAAGCATTTGTATCAGCTCCTTCATCTCTACACACTGGCTGGATCATGCGTATGGAGGCTAAGATGTTTCCCGAGAGAAATGCACAGCGGCAGCAATAGCGGAGGAATACAGATGTCATTATCATGTAGTGCCCAGGTTGACGGTTATTAGTCTAATGCCCGATCTCTGGTGCTACTTTCTCTGCTTTACAAATGCTATAATGCTAGTTGTCTAGATTTCCACGTTAGTTAAGTTCGGTAATGATAAACGAGCACTGATGTTGCACATAAAATAGCGGAAAATAGGCATAACATAGAAAGCTTCGAGCTAATAAACCCCACTATAGCTAATCGTAAAAGGACTTTGACACTGCTAAGCACGTATGGCAAGCAGACAATCAATCAATGAGAGCCAAGGCTTCTGGTTTCCATTGTGAGATCTCAGACGACGATACTGTCCAGGTTGCCTGGGATAAATTTAAGTCCTACCTCACAGAGGTCTCTGCTCCCTTCATACCAGTCACAAGGAGAAAGGAGGCCCGAGCACAGCCGCCCTGGATAGATCCCACTGGCAGGCATCTGCTCACAAAGAGGTCTAGATGTTGGCGGACTTACCGAGACGCTCCGTCCACCGATACTTATGACAGGTACCGTAAAGCTAGAAACAGGTGTAAGCGACACCTAAGGGATGCTCGGCTCAATTTTGAAAAAGGGTTAGCGGACGATGCTTCAGAGAATCCAACAAGATTCTTCGCTTATGTCAAAAGGCGCTGCGCTTCGAACATGTCAATTCCAGTGTTGATGCGTGATGACGGTACTCATGCGCATACGGATTATGACAAGGCCTACGTACTCAGTGGGCAATATGCGGCCGCGTTTGTAAGGGAAACCTCTTTGACAGGCGTTGAGCTGGTTTGCAGGACCCCAGAGGGTTCAGAACTATCTGAATTTATTGTAGCGGAGACTGCAGTTCGTAGGCTGTTACAAGGGCTGAACCCTTCTAAGGCCTCTGGGCCTGATTTAATTCACCCGAAACTGTTGCATGAGTTGGCTGCGGAACTAAGTGGACCCCTCGCTATTGTGTTTCAGAAATCGCTTGACAGTTGTGCATTGCCTTCCGAATGGAAGGAAGCTGTCATCTGTCCCATCTTTAAACATGGGGACAGGGGTCTGCCTGCAAATTACAGGCCAGTTAGTCTGACGAGTGTAGTAGTCAAACTCCTCGAGAAACTGGTGAGCGATTCATTGGAGAGTCATCTGAGTAGATTTAATCTACTTAGCAACGTACAACACGGATTCCGGAAGGGATTTTCGTGTCTGACGAGTCTGTTGGTGGCTCGCGAAAATTGGGCGGATGCAGTGGATAACGGCCACACACTGGACGTGCTTTTCGTCGACTTTTCGAAGGCATTTGACAAGGTACCCCATTTGAGACTCGCGCAAAAGCTATCCTCTTACGGGGTATCTGGCCGCGCCCTTCATTGAGTGACTGCCTTCTTGGAGGGTAGAGAACAGTGTGTACGGGTAGGCCGGGGTCTATCATTTAGGCAGTCTGTCCTCAGCGGCGTGCCGCAGGGCTCGGTCCTTGGACCGCTGTTGTTCTCTATCTATGTGAATGACCTACCCACGGAGCTTGAGGTACCATCGCTGCTATTTGCTGATGATCTGAAGCTGTGGAACATTGTTGATGTTCCTGGGGGTTCCGAAGCTATTCAGCGAGCATTGGATAAGCTTTGGGACTGGTCTACTTTATGGTTACTGCCCATAAATCAGGCAAAGTGCTCCGTTCTTCGAATTGGAGGAGGTTGTCCTCCTGCGAAGTACTTGGTCGGTGGGGTCGAACTTCTCCGTGTATCTAGCCAGGTTGACCTAGGCGTCGTACACTCTTCGGCTTTACACTCCGGCGACAACTGGAAGAAGGCCGCAAGCAGAGGTTTCCGCATGTTGTGGTTAATCCGACGTTCTTTCGGAGTCTTGACGAGCGGCATCTTTACAAGGCTGTTCTCGGCTTTCGTTCGGCCTCATCTGGAATACTGCGTCCAGGCTTGTCCTCCCTGCCTCGTCCGGGACAAAATGGAGCTAGAGAGGGTTTTACGAGTGGGTACTAGGTTAGTCGAGGGATTACGGGGACGGACGTACCCCGAGCGTCTACTTAGTTTGGGAATGCATTCAATGCACTACCGAAGGCTTAGAGGAGACCTAATCCTAACCTACCGTATCTTGACTGGGAAGGTTAATCCAGATTTATCTTGGCTATTCAGTCCCGCTAGATTGTCTGTTCTACGCGGTCATTCGTTGAAGCTGGACAAACCGCGGTCCGATCGGATTAGGGCGGAAATCCGGCTGTCCTGCAAAGTCAACGACCGCTGGAACATGCTTGCGGAAAGTGTTATCAGGGAATCTACGGTTAAGGGGTTTGAGCGGCAACTTGACGCTCTTGGGTGGCAACACGAAACCTTTCCATTTTCCTGAGTAACTCGCATCTTCGTACTTCGATTTTCTTTTCTCTACTTTTCTTCACGTATTGGTATTATTTTCTTATTTAAGTGCACTTCCCTATTCTGTACCTTCGATTTCTCTTCCTATCCTTTGCTTACTTCACGTGACTGCCACAACAGAGACTGCTAGGGCAGGAAACGTAGGCATTAACTGGTTGGCCAGGATGCGATACGGGTGTTTCCGTTTTAGATCCATCAATAACTGAGCACTTCATCAATTCCTGGCTCAACGATCCACTCAAGATGGAACACTCACGGGATTCTCCTATCGTTCCAGTCCCCATCTGAACTGAACTGAACTGAACTGTCCTAGTTTAAGCTGAAATGTGCTTAAACTAAACCGTGGAAAGACTGTGCAACTGAGTGCGAAAAAGCTAATTTGTTTTTGTTCAACTTAATTTATTATATACCAGAATACAACACATCTGGTTTTCTAAAGCCGCTAGTGGTCATTTTTCTTTTCACGTTTTAATGCACTGGGGCGCCATCTTGGTCTCCATCCTTTGACGTTGCGTCTGCAATGGCTTCCTGCGGTGTTCAGGTTTGTACTTTTTCATTTCGCATTGTATCCTACTTTTAGAACCGCAGGATGTTGAAGCGTTTAATGCGTGTCGGCAAGCAGAAGATCGCCCATCTCGAGCGGCACAGCCCAGGCAAGTTGCTTGACCGCCATTTGTTGCTTAAGGCACTCAGCACCTGGCGGGCTATGCGTGACCGTTCGCTGCCACAGAACTCGTGGTGTATAGTCGATCCACCTACGTCTGATAGCTTTTCTTGGGATGAGGATTGTTCCTTCGACAGCGTCTCTAGTCTCTCAGAATACCACGTCCATTCTGACTTCCAGTTTTCCACTCCCTCAGTTGCTGACACCTCTGATACTTGCTTAGCCTGTGATATCACGAACAATATGCCC